ATCTATTTTAAAGAAAAATTGACAAATTTATGTAATTTATCCTTGGGGTCAAATTCACTGCCATTCTTCTTGTTTCACAGAAATTACTAAGCAGAGAGGCAGATTCGTATTTGCTGATTTTTTTTATCAGAGAGATCTGATTTGAATTCGGTAGCTAAATGAACAACAATAAATTATTGTGGTACTTGAATTATTTAACCTTAGGGATAAGCTAGGAATGTGTTTGATCTGTTATGAACATGGAAGAGAAATGATGATACAAATGATATAGTACTAGGTGTAGCAACAATCTGCATTAAGCCTTTAAGCCTGGAGGCGTAGTTGATTCTTCTTTCCTTCCTCACTAGTCAAAGATCATTTTGGAGTGCAAAGATAGCCAACTGTGCACAAATCATTTTCTTGAGCCACCTTTGCATACCACCTCCACCCTCAACAATTTATTAGCGGCTTCTCCTAGTCTTCTGTCTTTGCATGTTCAGCATCATCTAAGTCACCTATTTCTTACTCCTCTGCCCTTTTGTTTGGCTGATCTATTGACTTCTCTTTTGAGACCATGATAGTGGATATTGTTAATGGTTCCCTGTTCTCCAGTACTGTTCGTGCTGTTCAGTTGTTTCATCATCATACCTCTCCTTAGCAAACTCTTGGCCCCTGTCTCCATGCCAACTGATGTTATGGTTGAAGTGGGAAGGAGTGCGCTGTCTCTCTCTAGTCGTGCTATTCCATGGGTCACAATACAAAACTAAATGTTTTACCCGGTTGCTGATATTCAGCAAATTTGTAAAGCTTATGAACAAACAATTTGAAATACGAAAGTACAAATATCTGCCATTATAAAGACCCCAAGACACGTAAACACACACACAAAATTTATTTTTTTGTAGAGAGTGATGTTGGAAAAAAAGGCTAATAATTGTTTGCATTTAAAGACAAACAGAAGAAGGTTGAATGTTCAGATAGCTGTTGGTTTGGCATTCCGATTCTAAGGAATGGTCACTAGACTCGAAATGTTAACTTGGATTTCTCTCCACAGATGCTGCTGGACCTGCTGAGCTTTTCCAGCAATTTATGTTATATAGCAGGTCCAGTTCCATTTCTGGTCAATGGTAGCCACTTAGACTTATGATTTGTTACAACTAAGTAGTTTGCTAGTCCATCTCAGGTGACAGTTAAAAGTCAACCACGTTGCTGTGTGGTTGGAATCATGTGTAGACTAGACCATGATGGTAGATTTGCTTCCCTGCAGGACATTCGTGAACCTGATGTGGTTTTACGGTCGCCATTTGTGAAACTTGTTTTTTTCAAATTCCAGATTCATTAAATTCCAATTCCTTCAGCTGCCAGGGTGGATTTGAACCCGTGTTCCCAGAGCATGAGCCTCGCTTTCTAGTTTACCAGTCCAGTGAGGACTAAATAATGGGAGGACCAACTCTGTTATATTTGGTTTGAAAACTTCATTCCTTGACTACCATTTCCATCCTGGGCAGCTGTTTGATGTTGATTCAAACTGTTTGCAATCTTGGTGTTGCATTTGATGCCAAGATGATCATCTGTCCACTTACCTGCTCCTTCACTGAGCCTTCCTATTTCCATTTCTGTAGCAGAAAGAAATTGTTAAACTTGAAAGGATTCAGAAAGTATTTACAAGGATGTTGTTCTAATTGGACGGTTTGAGCTGTAGAGAGAGGCTGAATAGGCTTGGGACTTTTTTCCCTGGAGCGTTGGAGGTTGAGGGGTGACCTTATAGAGGTCTATAAAATCACGAGGGTCATGGATAGGTTGAACAGCTAAGTTTTTTTTTTTTTTTTTTCCCCCCCAGGGTAGGGGAGCCCAAAATTAGAAGGCATAGGTTTAAGGTGAGAGGGGAAAGATTTAACAGAGACCTGAGGGACAACATTTTCATGCAGAGGATAGAGTATATATGGAATGAGCTGCCAGAGGAGGTGGTGGAGGCTGGTACAATTACAACATTTAAAAGGCATCTGAATGGGAATATGAATACGAAAGGTTTAGAGAGAAATGGGCCAAGTGGAACTAGATCAGTTTAGGATATCTGGTTGGTGTGGATGAGTTGGACCAATGGGTTTGTTTCTGAGTTGCATGACCCTATGGGCTCACTCTAGTCAAATCCTAATCTATGCCTTTTTTCCTGTGTACCTGCTTATTCCAGAGATTTCAGAACCAGCATATTCCTCCCCTCTGCATAAAATTGTGCTGATCTAACACTTTGTGGAGTGTATTCCATCACATGGTTGACCTGTGCCTTGTAGACAGTTGACAGGCTTTTGGGAGTCAGGAGATGAAACCCAGAATTCCCAAACTCTAACCTGTTCTTGTAAGCATAGAATCTATATGGATAGTCCAGTTCATTTTTTTGTCACTAGTAATACCCAGGACATTTATAACCTCAATGGTTTGTACGTGTTAGAATGACTGCAGAGGAGAAGATCAAATGAATGTGAAGTGTCAGGTAGATAGTGGCGCTACATGAAACATCATGAGCTTTGTAGACCTGTGCAAAGTGGCTTAAGTGGTGACACAAAAATGAAGCCATCAAACATGAATTTGAGGTTAACGTGATGAAATAATGCCCAAGAGGACAAATTAAGCTGAGCACCCAAAGAATGAAATTGGAAGATGAACGATTTTCAGTTCCAGCAAGTCTAAAGCTTGGACTGATAACCCAATACTTACCAGAAGAGACCTTCATCAATTAACATGATTCGAGCCCATTGACTGCTGAACAAATTTTGGGGAAAAAAAATGTTCTCAGAGGCCTTAGATGTCTTTCTGGTGAATATCATCTTGAAGTAGATGACAGTGTAAGACCAATTCCATATATCTCAAGAAGAATTCTGGCTGCTCTTGAGTCCAGCCTGAAAGACAAGATAGTGGAGCTGGAAAAGAAGAAAATAATCAACAAAGTGACAGTTCCTACATGCCTACTTAGCAGCAAAAAAAAAAATCTGGAAAGCTGACAGACTGTCTATATCAAAAGGATCTCAGTAAGGCTTTTAAGGGATTTCGCGCTGTCATGCCAACCTATGAAGAAATTGTACCGCAACTTGTGAAACCTTTATCTTCGCTACCCTTGATGAAAACGATGGACAGCTGTGAGTACAATTGAGTGCAGTTTTCTGACTACATTCTAGATTCTATGTGGGGAATACAGGTGGTTGCACATGCCATTTGGTGTATTCATTGCTCCAGCAGGGTTATTGGCATAGCATGAGATAGTCCATAATCTTCCCAGAATGAAAGTGATTGCGGATGAGCTGCTCGTCATTGGAGGAAGCTATCACAGCTACACTGGGAATCGGGTGAGACTGCTGGAGAGACCTCCCCTGGTGAAGCTGAACAGGAAAAGTTAGAAAGGGTATTTAGCAAAGCTGACATATAGAACTATTGTGAGTTTTCATCTGTCAAAAATAATGTATTCACCAGTTGGTAAATGCACTAAATACCTCCTTGTGCTGGTTATTTAATCAAATCATTCTGGTTGTTTTTTTTGACAGTTGTTCTTGTGTCCTTCCTCACCAGTCTGACATTTGGAGCTATACGTTCTTAGGACAATCTGCTCAATTTTAACCAGCATTTTCTTAATTTGGATGTTAACAGATCTCATTTCCAACATTTTCTGTTTCAATTTGAGATCTCCCACATTTGCATTGATAAACATATCTAGGATGGAGAACCTTATTTTAAAAAGAATGCTCGAACATTCCAAGGTGGAATAACTTCAGATCAAATAACAGACAGGTGGAGTAAGAAATTTAATCTCCAGAACAGCGAGTGGCAGTATCATAGGTGCTAACTGTGTATTTCATATTCCTTCATTGCTGCCTGCCTCTTTTTCCCTCCAGTTGAAAATATACTTGAGCAAAGTTCAGGAGCATCTATACTATAAATAAATATGTTTTGAATTGATGTAATAACTTCCAAATGGTGCAGTAGGAATAGACCAAAAAAAATCTAAGTATGTTCAATTGTGTTTTCCTTTGTCACATGTTTTTGGTTGGCTAGGAAGATAGATAGATGTATTGTTCTTGTTCCCGTCTAGAGAGGCTGTAGTATAATTGTTATTCGGCTTGCAAGAGCGGGCTCAGTTGATCCTCTACCAACATTCATTGCAGAGGTTTTTGGCTTTTCCTCCTGCAGATAACTTAGTCTAATTACCCAGTCTCTGTCAACTAATGAGGAATGCCTGGTGTGATTTACAATTTAGCTGCAAGATTACATTTAGGTTTATTCAGTAAATATCTTTCAAAAATAAGAAGCCAAAGTTTTTTGCCAAAAATAACCCTCAGTTTTATTAATTAAATTTGCTTGCAATTTGCCACACATTGATTTATCAAAAATTCTGCAATAAATTTGTATTTCAGAAATGTCTCTCATGTAGTGTTATAACAAAACAAAACATTTTGTTTGTTTTTGTATGGTTTTGTTGTGCAGAAACTGTCTCTTTAAGGTCCACAATATTTAGCTAATATATTTCCATTTGAGACTTAAACAGTTCTGTTTTAATCACATTATTCTGACGGTATATTTGTATTTTTTCCACTTTGAGTAGAGAGTTGTTGAATTTACTAATTTTTCAACAGGTGATGGTTTAAACAATAAGAGGATTGGGCCTGTTTTGAATAATATAAAAACATTTGAGTAATAGAAAATAAACGAGCACTCAATGGGTTAATTTGGCTTTTTATAGGGTTAATATTTGCTAAATTATCAGGTTATAAGATTGAAAGCAAAGACCTTGATCTTTGTTGGTGAGAAGTATTAGATGGCAGTCCTAATGCAGAGTCTCATTAAAGAAGCTGTCAAAGCTCCTCCATTTTGCCATCACCCGAGTTATCCTGCAAGAGGCAACTGTCGTTTCTCGTCAGTGTGCTATAAGAGAGGCATTTACAAATAAATGAAAAATGTCACATTCAATATCACTCTTTAAAGCTTACAGCATGTCAGCTATGGCACAAACTGCCCTTGTTGCTTTGTTTCAGGTTTTGCAGTCTTCAGCGGTCAATAGGTTTTGACTGGATGGAGTCTCTTCCATTTTATTAGAGGTAGGTTTCCTAATAATTGCTTTTTATTAAAATATTGTAATTGTTCATATTACCACCGCCTATTTTCAGACATGTTGATTTGCAGAGTTGGTATATCATCACTACAACCCTCAATAAATTATTGTCGAGTTTTTTTTAATATGGGGACGCTCATTTCAAATAAAAGTTTGTTAAAATTTTATACTAACTGAAGTAATTTTAACTGTACTTTTTAAAAGTTATTTTTCCAGTATGTTTTCTTTCCCACTGAAGTGATTCTCCTTCATTAACTTGCCCAAATGCTGATTTGCTGCATATGAGCCTTGATTTGGGAGCGGGGATAATAGGGACGCATGGAATGATCAAAGCTAAGAGAAAACCTTCACCTGAGCATTACACACATTCAGTTTCTAACTGGGGCAATTGTTAGCTGTCAGAAATAATAATAAAAGTTGATCTCTCCAATTTCCACTATAGAATGTTTTTATTTATAACACCCAGCAGTTACTTCAGGGTAGACTGTCCTGGGCTGTCAATAGAGGTAATCATGATTCTTATTCAATGTATTGAATTTCAGAAGTATTTGAATCTTCAGAAATATTATGTAGATGGGTGGATTAATATTGATATGCGGCAGTAAGTTTGTCACGTCTGACTTGCACACACAGTTTAATCGTATACTGCAAAACATGAGTGCCGTGTAATTCTGTGAGAAGTTAAACAGCTTATTCAATTTTTAAAAAAATTCATGTCTATGTCCTAAAGTTTAAATGGATGTTTAAAATTGGCACAAATCGTGTCTCATTTTTCTGTGTTAAAAGACCAGGTAGCAAAACATTGTAATTAAAACAAACTGTAATGCATCTACGTTAGTATTTCTACAGCTGCATTCACAAAGCAATGTCAGAGTATAATTGCAGTTCTGAGGAAGGGTCACCGGACCCAAAACGCTAACTCTGTTTATTCCTTCACAGATGCTATCAGACCTGCTGAGCTTTTCCAGTGACTTTGTGCTTGTTCCTAAGAGTATAATACTTTAACTCTTACCTCAATTTGATTGAAGTTTGTTTGTGGTTTGAAATGGAGCATGATTTCATTCATATGCTATAATGTAGTGAAGGCATGACTGATGGATGTTCTCAGGACACTAGGAAAATAATATCACAAAAATGAATTCTAGAATCCCTGCAGTATGGAAACAGGCCATTCAGCCCGTATCGACCCACCAAAGAGCATCCCACCCACACCCCTACCCTGTAACCCTTCATTTCCCATGGCTAATCCTCCTAACCTACACATCCCTGGACACTGTATGGGCAATGTGGCATGGCCAGCACACCTAACCTGCACATCTTTGGATTGTGGGAGGAAACCGGAGCACCCGAATGAAACCCGCGCAGACATGGGGAGAATGTGCAAGCACCACACGGGCGAAGCTGGAGTCGAACCCAGGTCCCTGGTGTCTTGAGACATTAGTGCTAACCACTGAGCCATCATGAAGTTAGTAAAGTTGTTACCATTTGGGATTATCTTGTTAATTGAAAGTAAAGTGGAGGATTTAAGGGTTAGCCATGATGAATTCTAAATGCGAACAAGCCTGGGTGACTTTTCCTTCACAGATGCTGCCAGACCTGCTGAGCTTTTCCAGCAACTTTGTTTTTGAGCCTAGGTGAGTTGGTTGTTAAAGATTAAAGAAGATCCCAGGTTGACTTACTGGGAGGATGGTGCAAGATATTTATACCTGTAAACAATGGGGAAAGTAATTGTGCTCAATGTGGGTGGAATGCTAGTCTCTAGTTTTCTCGGGGAGGCATGAGGAATTTCAGGTTTTATAAATGGTTATGCTTGAACTGTCTGTTTAATTACAAGAATGAGGTTGAGGGCTCTAGAAGATAGCTAATTAGCTCTTACACCTGGATATAGCGGCCACGTGATTCATGTTACCAGGGGGCGGCACAGTTGCGATAGGGTTAGCACTGGTGCCTCACAGCACCAGGGACCCAGGTTTGATTCTACCCTCGGGCGACTGTCTGTGTGAAGTTTGCGCATTCTCCCATGTCTACCTGTAGAGAGAGAGCGAGATATCAGAATTAACATTTCAGAAGTCCATTCAAAGTCTAATAACACTGGGGAAGAAGCTATTCTTGATTTTTTTTCCATATGTGTATTTAAACTTCTTTATCTTCTGTTTGAGAGAAGAGGGTGGAAGACAGCATAACTTGGATAGAAGGGGTCTTTAGTTATGTTGGTTGCTTTCCTGAGGCAGCAGGAAGTATAGATGGAATCAATGGATGGAAGAGACAACACAGCGTGGGGCTGGAGGAACACAGCAGGTCAGACAGCATCAGAGGAGTAGGAAAGTTGACATTTCAGGTTGGGATTCTTCTTCAGAAATGGGGAGGGGTAAGGGAGCTGGGAAATTATTAGAGGGAAGAGGGGTGGGGCTGGGGGAAGGTAGGTGGGATGGTGATAGGTGGATGCAGATAGGGGGTGGTGGGGATTGGTCAGTGGGAAGGGTGGGGCATCTTCTCTCTCACCTATCCACCCCTCCCATCCCATCCCACTGACCAATCCCCACCACCCCCTACCTGCATCCATCTGTCACCTTCCCCCCAGCCCCACCCCTCTTCCTTCCATTTATTTCTCAGCTCCGTTACCCCTTCCCAGTTCTGAAGAAGGGCTTGGACCCAAAACATCGACTTTCCTGCTCTTCTGATGCTGCCTGGCCTGTTGTGTTCCTCCAGCTCCACACTGTGTTATCTCTGACTCCAGCATCTGCAGTTCTTGCTATCATCAATGGATGGAAGGCTGGTTTGCATGATTGACTGCATTGTGTTCCTGACTCTCCGTAGTTTCTTGTGGTCTTGGGAAAAGTGCTTGTCACACCATGCTGTTGTACATTCGGATAGGTTGCTTTCTACGGTGCATCTATAAAAATTGGTAAGAGTCCTTGTGGACATTCCGAAGTTCCATAGCCTCCTGAGGAAGTAGAGGTGTTTTTGTGCTTTCTTGACCATCACATTGTGGGTGGACCAGGACAAGTTGTTGGTGATCATCACTCCCAGGGAGCTTGACGTTCTTGACCGTCTTCACCTCAGCACCATTGATGCAGACAGGGGTTTGCCCTCCACTCTGCTTCCTGAAGTCAATGACCAGCTCCTTCATGATTATTGTCTTTACACCATTCTGCTAAGCACTCATCGTTGTTTGAGATCGACCTATAATGGTGGAGTCATCAGTAACTTGTAAATGGAGTTGGTGGAATTTTGCAGATTTTGAGAGGGGACAGAAAGGAAAATTGCTAATATTGTTCTGAAAAAAAGGTCACTGGACCCAAAACTGTCTGTCTACGGACGCTGCCGGGCCTGCTGAGTTTTTCCAGCAACTTCTGTTTTTGTTGCTAATATAGTGTTATGGTTTGGAAACAGAACAGTGAATTAAGTCCCAATATATTTGGAAAATCTGTCAATATTGGATAAAAACCTGCCACAATGTTTGTTCTGTTACGAATCCACTTTCATAACAGAAACATCGAAAAGTATGAATTTCTAGAAATTGTCAATAATGTAATCTGATTTTTTTTTCAATACATATAGAAAAACTAACTTGTTTGTTTATTTTTCCTTTCTGGATTCTCAAGATTAATTCTCATTATTATTTTGCCATATGTATTTGCTTGCTTTCTATCTCAGCATTTTTCTACGCATATTCTGACTGCAATTAATTCAGAGATGAGCTTCCTTCAATGTGTGCTAAGTCATCTTCTTTCTTCCTTATACGGAATATATTTGTGAACATATCCCCTCCCCCATCCCTTTAGTTCCACTGTGAGACTGTTGTGTGCATGGATTAGCGCATGATGCTGACGGTGCTTTTAAGCCCTGTGCTGCTTAAAAATAGATTTTTGATTAGGTTCAGATTGTGATCTCACAAGTGAGTCTTTGACAAAAGAGGTGAGTTAATCACCTGTGTCATAAGGATTCTTTAAATCCTAAAAAAATGAAATTGAAGATAGACCAACATTGATTTGCATTTCCTTTTATGTGTCCATCCTGACTACTGATTATTGTTGTTGTACACCTGATTCCTCCTATTTACATAACAATACAAAATTGCAAAGTAAGAAGTGACAGAGAAGGTAGGGACAATATTACTTCTATAACTTTGGATTTTAATGCTTGGAAATGTGACACAAAATAAAGATAATGAGCTTTTCTTGCATTTGCATCCATGGCAAACTGACTGTGCTATTTAATGTACTTTATTTGAATATAAGGAGTAAAATTTTTACTTCATGTTCTTTAGTTTGTGCAGTACCTCAGTAGTGTGGCTTTTAAAAAATGCAGAAATGAGTCATTACCAACTTCAAAAAATTAAACATCATTGGTTAAATGCAATACATTGATATTGAAATCCAATATTTTCTAAACCAATGTGAGTCTCGCAAGTATAGAATTAGTTGATATTTCTTGTCAGAACCTAATTGTGTTTTAATTTAATGAAGATGTGGCATCAGTCTCATGCAAAGACAATGAACAGTAACACCAGCAAATCTTACAGTGAGAAGCAATTGATGGAGACAAATTTTAGTGGAAAATATTCAGAATATGTTTTAATGAATATAAGAAGGTAGATGATGAGACAGTTTTTTTTCATTATCTGGGGTCGTTGTTGAGTAGACTATCTTCAGGCAAGTACTCGAGACACTTGCTTTACACAATCTTGTTAATGAGAGCTACAATATTGACAGGCCAAACAGCACAGCTCAAAGTGACTGAATTGAAGAAAAAGCTTCACTGTAACAGAAATAATATGTGATTTGATGGTGCATGACTGCTTCTAAGAGTGTCGGTAGCTCTTTTGCTACATGGGCAAACAGTCTCAGTTTAATGCCTCATACAATAGATGGCACCCACAATTGAAGCTGCATTCCCTCACTATTGCAGTGAAGTATTGGTTTAAATATTGTGCTGAAGTGTTTGGAAGAAACTTGAACCCATACTGTTACGAAAGGGAGGTCA